GTTGAGCTGACGTTTCCATTGAATTTTTACATAGCTTTGCTTTCCCAAAAGTTGTTCTCATCCAGGGTGGCCTCAGTGGGGTGGTACAATGTTAGCTGGATTTTATTTTTAGGTATCCCTTTTAGACTAGAATAACAAGTAAACTCAGCCCTCTCTACAGTATACATTTTACATGCATTTCATTAAACCGAATATAATTATTTCCATAAAGTGTTAGCTGCACTTCGAGCATCGATTTACTTCTTCTATTGAAGCATGCTACTCGTCTCAGCTCAACAGTAGTCCCATTTCTGTTCAGTTTACTGTTCATAATTTGCAAATATCAAGTGGCTAGGCTCTGAAAAATATATTTAATTATCGCTTTTCTCCTACGAAATGGGGAAGGCTTTCGTGTGAGAAGCACTCATACGGTGTTGTTACCCACTCACTACAAATTCATAGCGAATAGACTAGAGTAAATTGTTTGATGCTTTGCACCACATTGCGAGGCAACCATATTGTCTTAAGATCCCCCAATACAAAGTTCAGCCTCAGTTGTCTCTTTGATTTTCCATATGACTACTTGTTGTACTATGCCATAACGTGGGAAGCATAGGTAGGCATTCGCAACTTGTGGGGTTGTATGCATCCAGTCTTGTGTGTATTCTCCGAAGTATTTCCGTGGCATCGGTCAGCACGACGTGGATAAGAAGAAGCATTTGATTAGTTGATTTTCATTCGGTTAAGTGGTCACATTTTATCCTCGCTCCATGGTTTGCGCGAGCAGAAGATAGCTCTCTTCAACTTGTTGCAGCAATACGCCTCAAAGGCTTTGTTTCCATAGCGTCAATATCCATTTACACTGATTCTGATATAGTTGAGTTGCAATACACGCATATACCAATAGTCATTAGTTTGCAGGCATTGCGTGTACTGCCGATGCATCACACCCTCTGTCTCCATCAGGCGGTCGTTGTTGTCGACCTTTAATCGATTTCTCCTACTCTCCCAAGCCCTTTGTCAGACCTGTTTGTCTGGCCATCCCCTGTTCTGTGTCTCCCTCTCAATGGCTCTCGCAAATTGTCAAGCCCACAAGCCTGCAACCGGATTGCTGTCTAATCCGTTTGCAAGGCCGATTCTCATATTCGCCGTCTTCCCTTCCCTATTACACTTAACCGCTGTCTTGTGGCCAGCTTTTCGCCAACTTGGCAACGCAGCCCTCCTCCTTGACTCTTCCCGGCTCGACTGTTTGTAGACTCTCTTCTGTAGCCTGTCGTCATATTGGGCTCACTCAAATCCACGCCAGTCAGCTCTATCTTCACATGTTTGTACACTCTTCCGGCGTAAGCATGGGCCAGGGTTCAGCGTGGCTGTGTTTCTTCGCTTGTCAGCCTCTCCAGATCCGGCGACACCGGCTGATACGGGCGCTTAGCTACCGTTCACCGTGACGCTGTGGCCCGATCATCCGCCGGGAAGGGCGGCATTTTCGTCTTGCCACATGTTCGGGCCAGTCGCAATATCTTCATATTTCCTAATTGCCCAAGTGATAACGAGCCCATTTATGAGAACATGTGCATTCGTGTGAACCTGCAATGCTAGCTGGGCAACTTGGACCAGAGGAGCATACGAAGAATCACTTATTGGAGCCTGTGACGAAGTGAACTCCTTTGGCAAATTTGTAGGCCCCACGAAACGACATAAATAAAGGCTTCTCGAGTCTTTCGATGTGAGTAATTTTTGAGAATATCAGCAATGCTTGAATAAGCACTCAGTCAACCTATGCCGTTTGAAATGATCTGAGCGCTGACATTCGAGTCTTTTCCACATTGTGACAATTCAACTATCAGTCCTTAACTCACCGTTTGTGACTTAGACTGACATGTGTTTATTAAAAAATTATCAATATTTTCTAATACTACTCACATCGAAATTAAGTAACGGGTTTGCTTTACTGGGAAAACAGACCCTTATGTACGAAAAAAAGTTGGGGTTCGAGGAAGCTCTTGTTTCATAATTGTTGGGCTTACATCCATTTCGAGTGGAAGTGTTGGGTGAAGAGATTCGATGGTCCGTTCCACCAGAAACCGACGGCGGATTCCTCTTGACCAGCCGTTGATTGGCTTTACTGGAAGATTCATGCAGACGCTGTTTCCGAAGGAGTTGAGCCGCCTGCAAATACAGGCGACGAAACTAGTCTTTTCTTATTTTGGTTCTAATTATTGTCAATTCTTTGTTCTATTAGCTTACTCTTTCTCTCTCACATTGAGACCAAAAACAAAAAATATGCTCATCAACAAAACCAGACGTGTCCGACCTTGCGCAATCGGAGTAATGGTTATAACTTAAATGTAGAAAAAGGGAGATAGGAGTCATCAAACCTTGATGACCAAAAACAGACGTTCCTTTTTGCTGTCCTAATTACTTTGAGCAATCACTACGGGTTT